CCCCAAAACCCCAAAACCCCAAAACCCCAAAACCCCAAAACCCCATATAAAATTTAAATTTTTGAATTAAATTTGAAATGAAATCAGCAAAAGCGAAGAAAGTGTTTGATATAGAACAAATCGAGGCTTTGAGCAGGTCAAATAATTTAGAAATCTCATCATTGTTGTGTAAGTATGATAGCCATAGAAAGAAACCAAGGAAAAAGCTTAGTGCTAGACGGCTCTTAACTAGTGGCACAAAGTCCCAGAAGAGGAGACTAAGTCCTACATATACCTCCGAAACTGGATTGGTGTCTAGTCTTACGACAAAAATTGAAGAATTGAATGAAGAAATTAATGAGAAAAACTACACTATCAGAGAGCTCACAGCTGAAGTGTTCAATTTAAAATAATAACTTCAATGATTTGCGCTACAAGTACGAAAAATCTCAAGATAAATAAGAAATTACTAAAGCAATACCTCAAAGACAAAGTAGAGTCCTTAATAGAAGCAGAGGATAGCCTAGCTAATGCGAACGACATCATCCAGGATCTCTCACAGAAATGTGAGGATGCTAATTATGATCGAGATAAGATAGAACAAACTTATCACAAAGATTTTGAGAATATAGTCGATACTCTTACCTCAATGAAAGTCTATGACAAGGATACTATAGAGTCAGATTCTCTCATGGAGGTCATCAGCCGGTCTTTACAAGAGATCAAGGCTGAAAATAAAATGGTTAGGCAGCTCAAAGCAGATAACTTGAAGTTACCTCAGTACCGAAGAGAGATAGAAAAGCTTAAAGCTCAAAATCGTGCTTTGGAAGTTAAGATTCAGGACATTAAATCTACAACAGACAACAATCGGCTTAAGAAGCAGATGTTTTACTTAGTAAAAAGCAAAGCAGATTCGTACAAAAGTGAGCTTGGGTTCCTCAAGTCTTCGTTTAAAAGCGAGTTGTCAATACTAAAGTCAAATATGGAGACTACCATCAACAATATTGTGCTTAAGTCTAAAGAGATAATGGTGAATAATGAATTTGCAAAAGAAGAGCAATTCCTCAAATATAAGAGCAAAGTTATGAGCCAATACGGTGTAAACATAAAACAGTAATTTCATGATTTAACCTTGCTCTAGGAAATCAGAAGAAAGCCAGAAAGAGACAGAAGACCTAGTTAGATTAATCGAAACTTTGAGTACAGAGAAGATCTTTCTGAAGTCAACTATTTCTTCATTGGAATTTCAACTAGAGGCTCTCCAGAAGCAGTCTCAAGAGCAGTTGGCTCTACTCTCACAGCTAGAAAAGAAGAGCGCCAAGGAAGATGACAAGGATTTAGTCGGGATCTTAAAGAATGAATTTGAAGAGAAGCTCACACAGTACAAGAAACTGACAGAGAAGAAGCTCCAAAAGATCCAAGACGATTATAATGATAAGGAGAATAGGCAAAATAGAGAGAATTGTTACCAACAATTCGAGAAAATGATGGATGTTGACTTAGAAGAACTTGGCAAGGATAATAATAGCAATCAGAATTACTTACCAAAAAGCTATACCGAAGACTCGAACAAAACTATATTTATGTATATCAAAGATAACTCTTTGCTCAAACAGACTAATTACTTCTTAGAAAAGGAGAAGAAGAGTTTGGAGAAGGAACTTCAAGCTTGTGAAGAGAAAAACACTCGTTATGAACAAAAGATCTCAAACCTGGAATCTAAAGTCCAAGATCAAGAAGCTGAGATTTCTAGGTACCGTTATGGAGAGACTTTGGTACAATCTAAATTTGACAATGCTAATAGTGATCTAAACTCCTCAATGCCATACGCTTTCAACTACACAGTTAAACAGCAAAAAGAGGAAAGCTTTAGGATGAGCAGAGATGAGTTGAAGTCTTTATCAAGTTTATTAAGGGAAACTCAAAAGAAAAGAAGAGGAAGAAGTGGAATGAGAGGCCGGAACGAATAAATCAATAATTTGTGATGTATCAGTGAAAGAATAAGAAAATTACATTTCAACTTTAAGATATCAGTATGGGGTTTTGGGGTTTTGGGGTTTTGGGGTTTTGGGG